AGACCACCATTCATTTATGTCCGAAAATCATAGAATCATAGAATATCAGCATTGGAAGGGACCTCAGGAGGTCATCTAGTCCAACCCCCTGCTCAAAGCAGGACCGATCCCCAATTAAATCATCCCAGCCAGGGCTTTCTCAAGCCTGACCTTAAAAACTTCTAAGGAAGGAGATTCCACCACCTCCCTAGGCAACACATTCCAGTGTTTCACCACCCTCCTAGTGAAAAAGTTTATCCTAATATCCAACCTAAACCTCCCCCACTGCAACTTGAGACCATTACTCCTTGTCCTGTCCTCTTCCACCACTGAGAATAGTCTAGGACCATCCTCTCTGGAACCACCTCTCAGGTAGTTGAAAGCAGCTATCAAATCCCCCCTCATTCTTCTCTTCTGCAGACTAAACAATCCCAGTTCCCTCAGCCTCTCCTCATAAGTCATGTGTTCCAGACCCCTAATCATTTTTGTTGCCCTTCGCTGGACTCTTTCCAATTTATCCACATCCTTCTTGTAGTGTGGGGCCCAAAACTGGACACAGTACTCCAGATGAGGCCTCACCAATGTCGAATAGAGGGGGACGATCACGTCCCTCGATCTGCTGGCAATGCCCCTACTTATACATCCCAAAATGCCATTGGCCTTCTTGGCAACAAGGGCACACTGCTGACTCATATCCAGCTTCTCGTCCACTGTCACCCCTAGGTCCTTTTCCGCAGAACTGCTGCCTAGCCATTCGGTCCCTAGTCTGTAGCGGTGCATTGGGTTCTTCCGTCCTAAGTGCAGGACCCTGCACTTATCCTTATTGAACCTCATCAGATTTCTTTTGGCCCAATCCTCCAATTTGTCTAGGTCCCTCTGTATCCTATCCCTGCCCTCCAGCGTATCTACCACTCCTCCCAGTTTAGTATCATCCACAAATTTGCTGAGAGTGCAATCCATACCATCCTCCAGATCATTTATGAAGATATTGAACAAAACCGGCCCCAGGACCGACCCCATGGGCACTCCACTTGACACCGGCTGCCAACTAGACATGGAGCCATTGATCACTACACGTTGAGCCCGACAATCTAGCCAACTTTCTACCCACCTTATAGTGCATTCATCCAGCCCGTACTTCTTTCACTTGCTGACAAGAATACTGTGGGAGACGGTGTCAAAAGCTTTGCTAAAGTCAAGATACAATACGTCCACTGCTTTCCCTTCATTCACAGAACCAGTAATCTCATCATAAAAGGCGATTAGATTAGTCAGGCATGACCTTCCCTTGGTGAATCCATGCTGACTGATCACTTTCCTCTCATGTAAGTGCTTCAGGATTGATTCTTTGAGGACCTGCTCCATGATTTTTCCGGGGACTGAAGTGAGGCTGACTGGCCTGTAGTTCCCAGGATCCTCCTTCTTCCCTTTTTTAAAGATTGGCACTACATTAGCCTTTTTCCAGTCATCCGGGACTTCCCCCATTCGCCACGAGTTTTCAAAGATAATGGCCAATGGCTCTGCAATCACAGCCGCCAGTTCCTTTAGCACTCTCGGATGCAACTCGTCTGGCCCCATGGACTTGTGCACATCCAGCTTTTCTAAATAGTCCCTAACCACCGCTTTCTCCACAGAGGGCTGGCCATCTATTCCCCATGTTGTGATGCCCAGCGCAGCAGTCTGGGAGCTGACCTTGTTCGTGAAGACAGAGGCAAAAAAAGCATTCAGTACATTAGCTTTTTCCACATCCTCTGTCACTAGGTTGCCTCCCTCATTCATTAAGGGGCCCACACTTACCTTGGCTTTCTTCTTGTTGCCAACATATCTGAAGAAACCCTTCTTGTTACTCTTAACATCTCTCGCTAGCTGCAGCTCCAGGTGCGATTTGGCCCTCCTAATTTCATTCCTACATGCCCGAGCAATATTTTTATACTCTGCCCTGGTCATATGTCCAACCTTCCACTTCTTGTAAGCTTCTTTTTTATGTTTAAGATCCGCTAGGATTTCACCGTTAAGCCAAGCTGGTCACCTGCCATATTTACTATTCTTTCGACACATCGGGGTGGTTTGTCCCTGTAACCTCAACAGGGATTCCTTGAAATATAGCCAGCAATACAGATCACCGGTGATGATCCACTAGTCCTTGGAGAACCATGGCGAACTATCCCTTTTTCTGTTTCTAAATTCTGTGCCCTGGTGGGGCGAGGGACCAGCAAAGGATAGGCACATGGGTTCCACCAGTTGCTCCAGTGCAGTTGGGAACCCCGTGCATGCAAAGCCATCAATAATCTCCTGAGCACTACTCAACTAGAGAGTACCTTATCAGTGGCATAGCAGACCTGCGTGAGAATGGACCCATGGCGAATTGGTGTGCTACAGACCGGTAGCATTTGGGGATGGCCAGCTTCCAGATGGCAAGGGCGACTGGCTTCTTCACAGAGGTGTGGCACTGCATGATGGTGTGCTGTTGATGCAGCTCCAGAGTCTGTTCTGCACAGATCTCAAAAAGGGTAACTCTCCCTAGCCTGAAGTTCTTTGGCCACGGCTAGTCATCCCAGGCAGGCAGAATGTCCTCTCCCACCAATCCACACTGGTTTCCCAGGCCCATAGACTGTGCTGAGAACTGTGTAACTCATCCAGGAACTGGTCCTCTAGTTCACGCAGGTTGGCAGGGTCCTCTTCCTCCTCATTCTGCTCCTCCCACTCCAGTGTGTTGTGCTGATGCCATAGAATATTCTTCTGCTTGTGGGGCAATTTGGCAACGTGAAATGCCAATTTCATCTGGCTTTAGTGCTATAATGCAGCCCGGGCAGGCTCTGAATATTCACAGTTTTCACCATAGCGGAATGGAGCATTGTTGAGTTAATGCTGACTGAGCAATTCGAAAATAGCACAAGGCTATCAGGAAAGGAAGGATGGGGTGGAGAATGCAGAAATGTAGAATTAAAAAAACAAAAACAAAATAGAACCTACCTGGATTCCCACAGTTCACAGCAAAAACAATCCCAGGATGCATGCTGCTCAGCAGCAAAACAAAGGACCTCTCAAGAAGACTGCACCCTGAGTTTGCAGCAAACTGCTGCAGTGTGTTCACACAATGTGAATTGAAAATGGAATAAGTGTTCCGTGTGCATCCTGTTGGTGCAATTTGCATACTCTGAGTTACCTGATGCACATCAAACAGCTTTGGATTAAACTAGGGACACAACCTAAGATTCCGGAGTACAATTCTGGACCAGTGGTGGCTTTTGCTTCTCCTTTCTGTGGCGGCTGAATTGCGGAGTACGTGGTGCCCTGCTTGTGGTGCTTTCCTCCACGGTTCATTGCTGCTCTAGGAAGTTGAATTGGCTTTATTTCTTCTAAAAGTCTCCTTGTTGGTGACTGGGAATAAGATACGGAGCTTTTCACCTCTACATTACTGGTGTGATGGAGCGCAATCCACTAGCGAGTGAAAATCATCCGTGGTATCGCCTTCTGTGAAGTAAGTTGGTTGGCCTCAGGCCAGTTCCTCATAGCCAGCCGTTGAGTGGCCTATGGAGACTGAATGTCACTGTCTCCTCTAGAGCTGATTTATAGGGTCAAGGCTGAGAAACTCTCCAATTTGAGTGCATGTGGATGGGAATCTTGTCCTGCTTCTACCTATGCTGCACCTACTCAGGAATAAACGGAGCAATTCAGTTTCCAGGGCCATCCAGACAGCAAGGGAAATATAGAAACGCCCATGAGCCCTTGAATAAAATTAATTGTGGGGTTAAGTCAGCAGTATTTCCATAAACATAGCCAGCAGCATGATCCAGACACAAGGATGAGATGGCATTGATGCCAACTGAATTAGAGCACTTATGGAAGGGCAAGGTTGTGTGTAGCTCTTATGGCTCTGGTGAAAAGGAAGCATGAAAGAGACACTCTGAGAAATGAAAACCTTTTTAATTCGCACGCCGTGGTGGAAGTCTGGCCAGCTGGGCTCTGTTCCACCAAGCTATGAATCCAGTCAGCCTTTTTCTCTTTGGTCTGTGCTGGCCTGTCCCTTCCCACATGCCCTGAGGAGCTACCTGCAATATTCCCCATGCCTCACTGCAGACTTCTCTGGTAGATTATGGAAATAACAAAACTGTACCATGAAAGCCGAGCCCTTTTATGCACCATCTGTTTTCAGTCCCTCCCTCCCCAGCTACATAACTCGTGTGAGACAGCTTTGCTGCCTCTGTGGCCAGGAACCTGGCCTGGCCCATGCCCAAAGGGATCCTTGTGGGCCTTGTGGGGCCCAGCTGAAGCCCAGCTGTGCTTGAGGGGCTATACCTGGCCTGTATCTGGGAATGCCTCGTGGGACGAGGTCTGGGGGCACCCGCTTAGTCTGTTCAGTTGTAAATTTGACTTTCCTTTTTAAGTCAGAAAGCTCTCTGCTTAGCACAGATTCCGGAGAGGACACACTGAGGCTACAGTGTCCTTTACTTTGAATCTTCTGTTCCTGCAAGGGGAGAGCAGTCTTAGGCACTTCACTTCTCCCCAATAAGTTCTGAGTGGCTTGGCCTGTATTGTACTGCTGCATTCTGTTGTGTGGCTTTGTGCTATACTGACTCTGAGAATGTCCTGGTCACCTGTGCAGAAGAGCCCTATCTCTTCCCCCAGCTATCTCTAGTAGGACCAGTCCATGCACAACTCAGAGAGCAGAGAGTATCTCTAGGCAAAATGAGGTAGGAAGGCAGGGAGACCCTCCCGTGTATAAGAATGGGGCTGAAGAAGTGTGAGAACATTGCAGGGTATCAGGAAGGGAGACTGTTAGTGTGCATAAGTGCAAGGGAGGCAGAGAGCAGGTGTAAAGAGGGACCTGGAGGACTCTGTCAGGTGCTGCAGATGTAAGGAGTGTCAAGAGAAGTGTCAAGTGGGAGCGGGTGTCTGGGTGTCAGGCAGATGGATAAGTGTGAGGGGTCTATCAGGCAGGGATAGTTATAAGCATGCAAAGTCTCAGGGCTCCTTAGAAGCAGGCTATTAACTGAGATGATCTGTTTTTATTTCCTCAGAGCTCTTGTCTATGCCAGCCGTAAAACGATTTTCTGTGTCGTTTGCAAAGCATCCGACTAATGGTACGTTTGCTTCCTTGATTTGACGTTTCCTCATGCTTCTAACCTCATCCTCACGTTCTGTTCTCTCTGCACGTCATTCTGTGTACCCCTCCCTTCAGCCTTCTCATGTTCCTCTGCGCGTCTGTGTATCTGGTGTCAAACTGTTCCACCGTTTTCCCAGTTGTCTCATTATGACTAACCTGCTCACTTTGTGTTACTGTCTGTGAGGGGCCCAGGCCTGGGCAGGCTGTTAGAATCCTGGCAGCCTGTTTATTCCAGAGGTGTTTGCACCCCGACTGACCAACCAAATGTGAGCAAACAAGAATTGGATCCTTTAGCAGCCTCAAATTCTGTAATGGCGTCAGCGTCTCCTCCATGCTCACTCTCTCCATCTCACTGATGGTGTGGGAGGCATAGCCGTGCAAACCCTGGAGCACAATCTGCCTTGACAGTCTGTATCCTGAGAGAAGCAATGACTGGCTCTCTAGTCTGCTGTGCATGGCAGCGGAGGAAGAGCGAGGGCAGCTCTGGGGTTAGATGGCGTTAATAAGTGAGGCAAAGGCAGCCTCCAGCTGGTGGCCGTGGAAAATGCAATCTACTGAGGTGAGAGAGGATAAAACAGCAAGGATCCCTAGCATTTCCTCTAGCCAAGCTGCCCCTCAGCACAGTGGCCTTGGTAGCTCTGATTCTCTCCTGGTTTCCCACCTGCACAGTGTCGCTTGCAATGCTAGTCCCTCTCATGTTCCCCCCCCCCCCCGCACCCCAATCTCTCTTCATCCCCCACCCAACATGATGGCATTGGTAGGGCTGGTCTCACCTTTTCACATGCACCCTCCCCCCAAGCATCATGTCATTGGAGAATTCACTTTTAATCACACAAACAAATATGGTCGCAAAGGAAGGTTGTGGAATGTTCATTGACATTCAAAAGGGCAGCGCCTTTCTCCTTTGCTGTGGGAAATCTTCCCCACTGAACCCACGAAACTCAGAGACTGGGCTCCATATTTGTTCCCCTCTTCTTAGCCAGGAGGGAGGGCAGCTGCAGTACAGTCTGCTTTGCTCTCCCCACCCTAACAGCAAGGAATAGGGGAAGAGCGGCTGTGCTCCTTGTGTGCTCCAACTCCCCTGCTCTGTGTAGCTCCTAACCTGATGTTGGTTCTCCTGGTCTGTCAAATGGCTCATAAGTATTTGCTCTCTAAGCCTTGAACAGAAATGTTCAGAAAAATTTTGTTTTACAGCTAACATTCCTACCCATTCCTCATGGATAGGGAGTGGCTGGGACTGGAGCAGGTTATTAAGAGTCATAAGTAGAAGTACTTGTCTCTTCTCAACCTGAATGCTGGTGCTCAGTAAACGCTCTGTGATCTAGAAGATGAGTCTAAGAACAGAAAAGAACCATCATAAAGCACAAAGCTAGGGTCTGGCTAGTTTCTGAAGGGTATGTCTGCACAGCCAAAGGTCTGCATGGGCTAGCCTGCCTGCACTGGCTGGATTTGCGCTGGTTCAGGTTACAAGAACAGGGAAGACAGGGCAGCGTGGGCTTCAGCATGGATAGTTCAAGCCTGACACAGACCCTGAGTAATGCTCGGCAAACTAGTGCACTTTGAATGCTGCGCTATGCGTCTTCGCTGCTGCTGTTACCCACACTAGTGGGATTCATGCTAGCTCAGGTAGCTTAGCCTGTGTACAGCTTCTGGTGCGTAGACATACTGAGTCTCCAAGCAGGTCAGACCGTGGGAGAAATTACCAGGTGGACTTGATCTCATTCTGTGCAAAGGGAGCAGCTGCATGGCTCATTCCAGCATCTTTCTGAAAATAGTTTGGTAAGCACATGTGGAAGCCAAGCTCTTCCTTTATGGAGCAGCCTTCCGTAGGCCACCCCCCACTATAACAGCAGCCTGATGCCCATAGAGAGATTATAGAGGGAAATAGGGCACCCGCAGTGTGTGTGTTGGGAAAAAAAGTGCACAGAGCATAGGGCTCTTTAATCCGTCAGACAGAAACAACATGAGATCCAATGGCTGGGAGGTGGAGCCAGACAAATTTTTAAAAAACTTTCTACAAATACATTAGAAGCAGAGGAAAACTAAGGACAAAGTAGGCCCGTTACTCAATGAGGGGGGAAAGACAATAGCAGAAAATGTGGAAATGGCAGAGGTGCTTAATGACTTCTTTGTTTCGGTTTTCACCAAGAACGTTGGTGGCAATGGGATGTCTAAAATAGTGAATGCCAGTGAAAATAAAATAGGATCAGAGTCTAAAATTGGAAAAGAACAGGTCAAAAATTACTTAGACAAGTTAGATGTCTTCAAATCACCAGGGCCTGATGAAATGCATCCTAGAATATTCAAGGAGCTGACTGAGGAGATATCTGAGCCATTAGCGATTATCTTTGAAAAGTCATGGAAGAAGGGAGAGATTCCAGAAGACAGGAAAAGGGCAAATATAGTACCCATCCTTAAAAAGGGAAATAAGGAAAACCCAAGGAATTACAGACCAGTCATCTTAACTTCTGTATCTGGAAAGATAATGGAGCAAATAATTAAGCAATCAGTGGGCTTAAATTGCAGCAAGGGTTAGGGTTGGACATTAGGAAAAACTTCCTAACTGCCAAAGTGGTTAAGCACTGGAATAAATGGCCTGGGGAGGTAGTGGAATCTCCATCATTGGGGATTTTTAAGAGCAGGTTGGACAAACACCTGTCAGGGATGGTCTAGATAATACTTAGTCCTGCCTTGAGTGCGGGGGACTGTACTGGAATGCGTTACCTAGGGAGGTGGTGGAATCTCCTTCCTTAGGAGATTTTAAGGTCAGGCTTGACAAAGCCTCGGCTGGGATGATTTAGTTGGGGATTGGCCCTGCTTTGAGCAGGGGATTGGACTAGATGACCTCCTGAGGTCCCTTCCAACCCTGATATTATATGACTAGATGACCTCTTGAGGTCCCTTCCAGTTCTATGATTGTTCAATGCAGACTAGAAATCAGGTGCACATTTTTAACAGTGAGGGTAATTAACCACTGGAACAACTTACCTAGGGACACGATGCATTCCCTGTCTAAATCCAGACTGGAAGTCTCAATTGAAAAGATCTGCTGTAGCTCGACCGCAAGCGATGGGCTTGATGCAGGAACCACTGGGTGAAATTATCTGCCCTGGGCCAGAGGCTGGACTAGATAATCATAATAGACCATTCTGGCCTTAAAATCTGTGACTCCAGGAGGAACTGGGCACCAATATCATGAATCCCACAGTGTGGGAAGGAATTTGGTCGTCTTTCCACACTGCCTTGAGGATGACAGTACAATTCTATGGAGTGGGGCTGATACGTTTCCCAGTGTTTCTTGGCACTCTCATAGTCTTGGAGAAAGATCTTGGAGTCATCGTGGATAGTTCTCTGAAGACGTCCACGCAGTGTGCAGCGGCAGTCAAAAAAGCAAACGGGAGGTTAGGAATCATTAAAAAAGGGATAGAGAATAAGACAGAGAATATCTTATTGCCCTTATATAAATCCATGGTACACCCACATCTTGAATACTGTGTACAGATGTGGTCCCCTCATCTCAAAAAAGATATACTGGCATTAGAAAAGGGCAACTAAAATGATTAGGGGTTTGGAACGGGTCCCATATGAGGAGAGATTAAAGAGGCTAGGACTTTTCAGCTTGGAAAAGAGGAGACTAAGGGGGGATATGATAGAGGTCTATAAAATCATGAGTGGTATGGAGAAAGTGAATAAGAAAAAGTTATTTACTTGTTCCCATAATATAAGAACTAGGGGCCACCAAATTAAATTAATGGGTTGCAGGTTTAAAACAAATAAAAGGAAGTTCTTCTTCATTCAGCACAGAGTCAACCTGTGGAACTCCTTGCCTGAGGAGTTTGTGAAGGCTAGGACTATTACAGCATTTAAAAGAGAACTGGATAAATTCATGGTGGTTAAGTCCATTAATGGCTATTAGCCAGGATGGGTAAGGAATGGTGTCCCTAGCCCCTGTTTGTCAGAGGGTGGAGATCACTTGATCATTACCTATTAGGTTCACCCCCTCTGGGGCACCTGGCATTGGCCACTGTCGGTAGACAGGATACTGGGTGGTTGGACCTTTGGTTTGACCCAGTATGGCCATTCTTATGTTCTTACGGGGGCTGTAAATAACTTGTGCCCCTCTGCATTTTCAGAACCTCCAGGTGATCTGTTCTCAGCTAATTTCTCAGCCTCCCTGCTGGCTATTTTCCACCCTTGCTATGCTCTCCAAGCCATACATTTTTCTTCCCCATACACAGTGCTCAGGATTCTGGCACTAAAGGCTGTATCTGGATTTCTTGGTTCAGTGGGAGAAGGGCCAGGCCTGGGGCTACCTTTCTTGTTTTGTAGCCCAGCCTGGATCTTAATTACACACAAGCTAAAAATGTGTTCCTGGGGTTTGTTCATTTTAAAAAAACTAAAATCTTGGAAAGTAACAACCTAAATGTAAACGAGCTCTTCAATGGGATTGTACCCTGGGGGCTGAAGGTTCAGCGTATTGGGTGGTGAGGAGAGTGCTCTTCCTACTCTTTGGGGCTGGGGGTTCAGCACATGGCCTTTTCCCCACCTGTCTCCATTTTCTCATTTCTCAGCTACCCTCTCTCTCTCTCTCTCTCTCTCGCCTTCTGTGGTTCCCTTCTTCTGTAGATGTGCTTGAACACCACCGTGTTGCCCAGCTGCTGTGCCGTTTTTCCTCTGATTATGCCATGAGACGGAATATCTCCTTGGATGCCACTCTGGCCCACCACCTACATCAGTGTTCCTACCACCTGCGTCTCTTCAGGAGCTGGCTGATCTCAGGCCAGGATGACTTGGAGTGCCTCTACGGTACTGCACGCTGCAGCTGCCTTAAGCCCACGCTCTTGTAGCTGAGCGGGGGGTGCTGTCTGCTTGAGAATGCAATGTATGCTGTGCTTTCTAAACTAGGGAAAGCATTTCCCTCTCTGCCTCTCTGAGAGCCTCGGGTTGGTGCTGCAGTGAGGCATGTGGGTGGCTGCATCAGGGCAGTTTTGGAGCCTGAGGAAGGTACTTTCCGTGTAGGGCTAATAACTTCTGTGTAGCTGTTAACTTTGTGCTCTTTGTCCTTGGCAATTGCACAGTGCCTCCTTCCTCTAGTCAGAGTGGGTACTTGTGCTTCTCTTGTGAGCCATGGCCAATGTGGATTGGGGTGCTTTCATCTGTCTGAGACACTGCTCCAGCAGCTTGATGGACTGCTGATATAACACTCTTTCTCCCCATGCCCAATCCCCAGAGAAGTGTAATCCCCATGTCCCTTCAGTTTAATAAAGGAGGTGAGATGGATGACTGCTGTATGGAGAAGGATGGAGAATCAGGAGACATAGCATAAGAATGACCGAGCAGCCTGAAACCCATGAGATAAACCTGTTGCTTTTTCGAGTAGTGCGCCTATGGGTGCTCAGTGTCAGGATGTGCGTGCAGCTGTGCACTCTGGATTGGAGACATTTTGTCAGCTGTGTCTGTGAGTTTGTGCAAGAGCCTTAGGCACCCTCATGCTCCACTACGAGGGCATATAGGGAGGGGTGGACCCGCTGCCATTCCCGGTTCCTTCTCAGTTGCTTGCAGTTTGAAACCGAGCATCACGGTGTTTGCTAGCTGGCGTCAAGGCTGGCTACGCCTCTTGTGAAAATTTTCTTTTTCTTAGTATTTTTTTCTTTATTTTAGTTTAGCACAATTTGTGCTTTTTAATAGGTTCCCCTCCCTTCCTCCTTTTTGCCCAGTTCAGGCCTTTGAACCATGGGCTCAAGTGTGGGTTATGCCCAGGCCCTTGGGCTTCAAACCTGCCAGACATGCCATAAATCTTTCCCTCACAACAGTGGACATTTAAGCTGCCTCAGGGAGTCTCACGTCCCTTCCAAATGTCCAATCTGCTCAGGGTTTAAGAGTAGATCTAAGAAATTGAGAGAACAGGCTCAAACTCCTGTTAATGGAGCATTTGCTGAGACCCACAGGATCTGAGTCATCCCCCTATATGTCAGATGCTCAGAGAGCTCCAGTAACCCATCTCTTCTGTGACAGTAAGCAAAGACCTGGGGGCCCTTCAGAACTATCTAAACCATTGAAGAAGAGAACGCCGCCTTTCCCAGAATAGGAGAAGAGAAAGGGAAAGTCAACCTCTCAGTCTGGGTCTCAGGAGATGTTGTCCCCCATTACAGGTACCTCTGAGGCTTCCATCCCCTTTGGAACTGAGATCACAGCACTCGCTAAGGTCACTATGCTGCATATCAAGAAACCGTCTGGTAAATTACCTGAAGGGGTACTTACATTGCCACTGGACTCCGTGCCTCCAAGATGTAAGCACTCCAGAGCTAAGCCAAAATCATTGTCTGTACTGCCTCTGGCAATCAGACATAAAGGATGTGCTGACTGTACTTTAGTACCATCTCAGTAACAACAGATGTAGTAAGAGGCCCTGAAACATAAACCCTTGTATCAGAGGCCTGGTCTGAGACCTAAAGCCTGAACCAAAGTACTTCCAGGCATTGCTAAGCAAAGCTGGTTCGTGAGCCAGAGGCAGGCCCTAATTGCAGAACTTGGCAAGAAAAGGACTCCTAGAAAGCACGCGCTAATGATATAAGTGGTAATAAGAGGAACGTGTGCCAAGATGGCACCTGGACATCCCAGTACAAGGACACTTCACAGAGATAACAAGGAACAGCCAGGTGCATCCCAAAGACAGGGTCAAAAGGACAGCATGATGGACAGATGTGTTTGTTTGAACCAACATGATCAAAGGGGGAGACAGCACCCTAATGAGTCAAGGGTCTGTACCTCAATACGTCAGTAGGGGTGAGTAATCTGTCCTGCAACTGTATAAAAATAGGTCTGGGAGCGCATATCTTTGTCCAGCCTAGGGGGCAGAGTGTCCTGCCACTGACTGAGCTGTGTCCATTGTCTATAGGAAACTATTACTGTGCTTTGTTTGACAATAAACCTGGCCAGGTGCCTTCGTACCTTACTAGAGTCCGTGGTCTTTGGGGGTTCTCTCGGGGTCTGCTGTGTCGGCTATCTGTGCAGAGCTGGGGCAGCACACAGAGGGAACATGCACGCAGCCAACTGTTATTGAACCAGAGCAGAGCACCTCACCGGTGGCTATTGACACCACCAGATAGTCTGACTCCCAATGTTTCCTACCTCGGGTCCCCAGTACCATCCAATCTTTTGATCCATGTGGACCTTTGGATCCTGGAGTACCCTGAGTCACCTCTGCTGAGGGGTACTGAAAGACACTCCCCACTGGTGTACGGCCTCATCTGCTGGAGTCTGCATTTCCTCCACCACTGTCTTCAACCATGTCTCATCCTCCAGTGCCATCACAGCCTCCAGTCCTCCCTTGAGGGTACACAGACATACTTCTCTCAGTTACTGACTTGACACTGTCTGGTACCTTCATATCAACAGCTTCCAGTATTGATGCAATTACAGGCCCCTTTTTGGGCCCTGGTATTGACTCAACCACCAGTACCGACACCATTTGCCCCTCCAATTGAAACAGAAAATGACACATCTAATTTTGAAGTGTCATAAAGCATTCCTCTTTTCAACCTCCTTCACTCAGAGTACCTCCTGATCATGAAATTCCTATCCAGGCGATACCTCTGAACCCTGGCAAGGACAACAGTGGGATCCTGTCCCTTACAACCACCACAGTAGGCTTATTGGAGCACTGGAGCCCCTTATGGTGACCAGTTCTACAGGGTCCCATCTCGTAGGAGGGCACATCAAGAGCAGCAGCTAGCACCCTTGGATCCTTCCACACAGCAGGATCTTACAGGGAAGCAAGAGCAACCTATGGAAGAAGAATCTTTGCCTTCCCATACATCCTTCTGCTCCCCAGACAAGGCTCATGCCCCCCTCACCATCTTATACTGACGTTTCAGGAATTTCAGGATCTTATGAAGCATGTAGTGTAGACCCTATATATTCCATTGGAGGAGATACAGGAACCTCAAACACTCCTTGATGGACATCCTTCACACATTTCCTCGGGGCAAAATTGCCTTTCCCATTAATGCTGCTCCACTGGCCCCTGCACATTCTGTGTGGCAAATCCCAGCTACTATACTGCCTACATAAAAGCCGACAGACAAAAAGTGCTACCTCCCTCCCGAAGGATCAGAATATTTCTTTTCCATCCTACACTCAACTCCCTGGTCGTGGCAGCAGTCAACAAATGGAACAGACAACATCTGTTCCATTCTACTTTGTCTGATAAAGAACAAAAAAGACTGGACCTTCTGGGTATGAAAAAGCTACCCTTCAGCCACACTGCAGTTCAGAGCAGTCAGTTACCAAGCCCTGATACCAAAACACAATTTCATGAATTCTTCCCAATTTTCATCCTTTTGTTGACCACTTGCTACAGGATCAGAGGGAACAACTTCAAGCCCTTATAACAGCCTCACTAGAACCTACTGACGCAGTTGCTCATTCCCTGGCTACCGCAATAGTCATGTGCAGAGCTTTGTGGCTGCAGTCCTCTGGTCTGTGTTGGGAGGTACAAAATACCCTCAAACCTTCCCTTTGAGGGACCCATGTTGTTCAGTGATGCCGTGGATGGGTCCGTTCACTCTAAGGACTTTAGGCCATGCTACAATCTCTGGGCGTCTATACACCTATGACAAAGAGAAAGTACAGTAGGTTGCAGGTGGCTCAGTGGTCAAACCCAGTCCACTGCCAGCCCACAAGAACTGCTGAGCCCCCAAGGAAGAAGCTCAGGTTCTCTGAGAGGACAGTCCTCTATTGTGACCTCCCAATTGGCAACATCTTCAAAACGACCATTTTGACCTGGTGGTCTTGGGTCATGAACTCTCTCTCCTGCTCCAGATTTTACACTCCATCTATCCCACCTCCTCCCCTATGGGGACCGTCTCACCCATTTCCTTCCTTCCTGGGAGCCCATCACCTCAGACAGATGGATCCTACAAGTGATATCTACAGGTTACTCCATCCAGCCACACTCCCTCCCTCTTCAGGGACTCCTCTGATGGGAGTCTCTTGAGGCAGGAGATACAATCCTCCTAACACTGGAGGCAGTTGAACCCGTCCCACTGGTCTTTGTCTGGAAAGGATTTTATTTCAGGTACTTCCTGGTCCCAAAGAAAAATGGGGGATGGAGACCGGTTCTGGACCCAAGGACACTAAACACCTTTGTCTATGCTCAGCAGTTCAGAATGGTAACCTTAGTAGTGATGATTCCTCTCTGGAGTCAGGTTTTGTATTTGGTTTGTCTCCCTAAGTCTCCAAGATGCTTATTTCTATATAGCTATACATCCTTCACACAGGCATTTCCTACGCTTTAGGATGGGCAGAGACCACTAGCAGTGTCGTGTCCTACCTTTTTGGCCTTTCCACTGCTCCAAGGGTCTTATCAAAGTTGTGTTGACCACCACAGCCCTTCTTCATCAGATGGGAATAATCTTTTTTTCTCTTTGTGGATGATTGGCTCCTGAAGGGTCAGTCATTCCTCGAAGCAGACTGCAACCAGCAAGGCCTTATCTCTGTTCCAGTCACTGGTCCTCCACTTCACTCTGACACCCACCCCATGAATAGACTTTGTGGGAGCTACTCTGGACTCCTCCACTGCTGGAACATACTTGCCCAGGGACAGATTTGACACTGTCCAGCCTTGTCTTGACAATACAACAGAGCCAGCAAAAGCTTATGTACAACATCTGGGCCATATGGCAGCCTGTACATTTGTGATATCCTTGGCAAGACTATGCTCCTGGTGTCTTCAGGCCTGGCTCAGAACCATTTACATCTGCAACAAACACCGCCTATGCAAGCCAGTGCCCATACCCTGGAGG